TCTTTTTTTTTCTTTCCTTTTTCTTTCTTTTTTTTTTTTGCCCACAGACAGTGAAAAGGAGCTCAATGTTAGTGGGTGAGTAAGTGAATCAACTAGCAGAGAGCACAGCAAGTTGAAGTGTCAAATTACATTGGCTATTCTATTACCAAAGGGCCATGCTTTGTGGCTGTTGGCAAAATCTGTCCCAGATTCCTATCTGAAAGGGAGCTGCCTCCTGGAGGGATGTTCTTTCTCTCGCTCTCTTCCTCCCCTCTTTTCCCCCCTCCCCCATCACATGAAGTTATAATCTTACAGTTTAAAAAAATGCAAATATTGTTTTACAAGATTAAAAGAAAAAGATCAAAGAGGGAAATCTCTCAATCCCAGCGGATTGCGTGCAGCTGAACCCCTTCCAGATTGGAAGCGGAAAGCACGGGAATATCCTCCCCGTTGTATTTTTGTATTTTTTGGGGGGGGGGGGCACCGCTGGGAATGTGTCCCCGTGAAAGCCTTGCTCCCGGGCGGAGGAAGAGGAAGGCGCTGGGCTTATTGCAGGGAAGTGTCAAGACATTTCACCTTTTACTTGTTTGCTTTCCATACGAGCAGCCACATAACCGAGAAGCCGTTGCGGCTTGCCCAGCTGCCCCCCCCCCCACCGGAGAGGAGCGCGTGTAGCCGCGCAGGGCCAGGGGCAGGAGCAGGAGCAAGGGCAGGGAAGCCTTTTTTTCGGGAAATCATTGTGCCTCCAGCCAGCGTGGGCAGCAGCGCCCGCCCCGGTCTGCCGCACCCGGAGGAGGCGGTGGGTGTCTCCGCAAGCTCCGGAGCTTCCCCAAAGCAGGACGGCTCAGGAAAGAGGGAGGGGAAACACCCAGGGAGGAGGGGTTGGGGTTTTATTATTATTTTAATAGGAACCGCTCTGGCCGCGGGTGCCCAATTACCCCTGAAAGTTTGATCGTGCTCTTCGCAATCAATTCAAATCCCTCCCTCCTCCCCCAGCACTTTTTGCGCCTGCTCCTGCAAGGCTCCCTCCCCAGCGCCGCTGCCTCAGCAGAGCAGTCGAGCAGCAATAATACCAGGGCTTTTTTGGGCTTTTTTTCCTCCCACCCGTTTCGTTTCTTTTCTTTTCTTGCGGAGGCAATCCAGCGTGCTTCCCCAGAGGAAAGCCCCTTGAGCTCCGAGCCCCTTCCCCTTGATACAACACTTCCAGGACAATCAATATTTTATGATGAGTTGTTAATAAGCCTAATATATTCATTCCGGTTCCAACGGGGCTTGTTAGATTATGCAATTAAGATAAGCAATTTCAACAGTGCCAGGCAGGCAGCTCCTCGCCGGCTCCCCTATGTTTGGTTGCGGGAGGCGGCAGCGGCTTCGTGGGGCTGCGCAGTCAGTCCGGGGCGGCTTCCTCCCGGCCCCGCTCGCACTCGGGGCTAATGGAGCCGGCGGCGGCGGCTGCCCTGGGGCTTCCCCTCGGCCGCCCCAGGCCCCGCGCTGGCCCGGCCCG